GGTGCTCGTACGTAAGTGGCCGTATCTCCATGCGAGCTCCGCAATCCCCATAGAATCGATAAATCATTCGATTTTGCACTCGATCCCACTAGACACGGGTAAATCTATTTTAATGCAGCCAGTAATCCGCGTTGAAAACTGCTTGAAATGCGAGAACACGTACTGCTGTGTACAGGGTGGACCAGTAGTTATCGACACCTCGGTTGTGCTCGAAACAATAATTATGGTCTCGCGTCAAATATTGGGTCATATCCGCCACTGAGGATAGCGTATATTCGTCATTAATTCTGGAGCACGGAATTTAGCCCCCGGAATTAAATTTTTCTTATTTGGAACTGATTAATATACTGGGTGTCATGGAATTAGGGGATGATTTTATAAGGCCAAAAAATGCCTTCGTTTATGGATTTTATATTAGGTTCGTTTTCGAGAAAATTATATTCGACAATTTGGTAAAGTTTTCATTAGAAAAATTCCATTTTTTCACTAAAAAAATTAGGTTTCAAGTTTTTGGTTAATTTAATGATTAGTGGAATTAATGATAGTATTAATACTTATGATATATTATTCTGTGACATTGTTGACTGACGTACGTATAATGAATTTACCAGAAAGTATGACAAACACGTAAATTCTATGAAGGACATAACATACAGGGTGTCTCACAACTAATGCAGGTACCTGAAAGGGAGGGTAACATGCCTGAAATGAAAGGTATTTGATTCTGAACAAGATTTCCCTTTGTAAAAATCGGGTTTGAAGTTTCGTTTTTGAATTATTAAGGAAAAACACGGAAGCGCGAGGACTACGCATGCGCAGATGCGAGAGCGACAGGTTCGAGCTAGCGGCTGAATGGTAAATGCAATGTATAGTATATTCAACGCTTGATGAGTGCAACGCGTACGAAATCAATGCGCGGTGAATGTAACGCGTGGTAAATACAAGGCGCGGCAAGTACTATGCGTGGTAGGTGCAGCACGTGGTAAACAACGCGTGATAAATTCAATGCGTGGTAAATACAACC